ATGATTTCAGGATTTGTTTCTGGAGCAAGATGGTGCAATTACTCTACCTGGACAAAAGAGAAGAAATTAGTCAGAAGAAGAATTTGTCAAAGACCAATCAGAGGTTTAAACACAGGAGTGAACCCAGCCTGCCTGGCAACACAGAGAGCCAACACTGGGAAGCATCACTTGCATTAGGGCCCCAGCTGGTGGTCATGATCTCATGCTCCAGACTAAGTGTTGGCTCAGCTCTGGTCTTTGACATTGTTTTTGCCTGTCTGGGAAAAGCTAAGGACTAATATATACACTGAAATAATGAGATTTGCATATCACCCTTCACATGGAGAGAATGTGGGACAAAGCCACAGGGAAGACAGATGGGATGGGTTTTACTGTCCCAGGAAGTCAGAACGGATGAGGTCATGAAGAATGATTTTGTATCATTCAGGAAAACTTAGCTATTTGTTGTCTGGAGACCAGACAGAGACACTTCTTGGTGCCTAAGCAGCCTTTTCCCTGGCTGCCCATATTCACTCAGCTTCCATCATCTTTCAGGGTTTTGCAGGAGCCACACACACAAAAAAAAATGCCTAAAACAATTACATAACCCCCAAACAAAGGCTCTGATGCCAGGCACAACCATTACTCAGCTGATTATCACAAAATATTGCTGTGACCTGAAACTCAGGAGCCCAAGGGTTGGGTCATTACTGCATGAGATATATGAGAACAAAAGTCCCACTAGCTCTAGGAGACTTCAAGAAACAGGGTTTGAAAATATGAGCCCTCTAGTTTTAAGAGAAAAACAAGTATCCAAAAATGGACCAAAGAGAAGCACAAGCCACCTGACTCTGTGCATCTCTCTGATCTCCATTCATGCTAAAAATGTACTCTTGTGTCTGACTGCACATGAATAAATCCAATCAGCAAAGGCCAAGAATACTTCAACCACAGACATGAACAAAAGACAAAATCAAGAATGAGCTCAGAGATAATAGTTTTCAACTTCTCACTCTTAGCAACAAGGCTCTTGCAGAGTAGAGATTTTCTGTGCTAGCAACCCTGAATCTACAGCAGCACAAAGGTCAGATTATTACAGTTTCTCCTCACTTCATCTCACCTCCACTCTGAAAAATAGCTGCACCTTACAAATTCCCCTTCTTGCCTCCACTTCTAGAAGGACTTGATGCCTTCATCTCTGCTAGCTGCTGCTCCTTCCTGCTGCTAACCTAATGCAGCTGGTAAAGCAGTGGGGAAAGGTAACCCTATGAAACGCACATGTAGTGGTTTCAAGACAAATCACAGGTGATATGTGATTGTTGTTATGTTAAGATGCCTATTCTTCAACTGCAAAAGATGCACTGTTATTCTAAAATTGGATTGTAGCTGAAGGCATGACAGAATAACTGAATTGCCTCTCCCTTACCTAGTAGAGCTCTCACCTTCAATTTTAGCTTAGCTACTTGCACCAGCTACATTCTGATAATGACTTGCTTCCACAGCCTCTGGGCAACCACAAATTGAGACTGATGTGCAAACCCTGACTGTCCATATTGAGTTGCTGGAATGCTTTTTATGCTGTGGTGCAGGATTCATTTGGTGTGTTCTGTTACCCCCTAAAGTTATAATGGTTCGGTCCTGGGATCCCCCTCTCCCCCTCCCCCGGAACCTCTCCCTCTGAGTGTCACTTCGTTCTCTCCTCCCCTGTTTGTGACTCATATGTAGAGCAAAAACCACAGGATATTGCCTTATAGATAAGTGAATACACAGATCCTCTTCATTTTCTTTAGTTAGATTTGTTGTTGTTGTTGTTTGTTTGTTTGTTCCCCTGGAGTGAATAAAAGGCTCTGGATTTTACCCCCGAGGAGGGTCCCTCCTTTCTTTCTTCTACTTCGCCTGCCTGTTGCTCGCTGCTGCCCCTTGCTGAGGCGCTCCCGGGACGCCCCGGCGCATCTAGGAAGTGCCCCCCCCCCCGGCTGTCGGCTGCGGTGCCTTCGGCTCAGCTGGTGCAACCTCCTCCCCTTCCCGGGGGAGTAGAGGGACTCGGACAGCAGCGCGGCACTTCTAACAAATCAACAATCATCCATTTTCCCCCTGGTGAATTTCCACTGAGGTCTTTTCACCACAGCAAACTGGAGCAGCTGGCCTTGTCACCTGTACCAGCTGGAAGAGTGACCTGGGGAGGTTACTTGGCTGCTGAACCACTGGTCTGCCTTCCTTTGAGTTTAACCTTTGTATCTGTGAAGACTCATGAGTTGTGGTCTTGCTAACATGAAGGTAGCTCCTCTCTGCCTTGCCTTCCTCTCTGTCCTTGGGCAGCTCCATTTCTTTGTTATTAATTGGCTCAAACAAGATTTCACCAGACACTTGGGCAGTTGTAGCATCAGCCAGTAATCCCCTAATTCCCTTGGACACCTGGGAGTCCCTTGTGTGCTACTCTACAACTGCATTTTGCAAGTGTTGCACTCCTCCATGATACACCAAATCGATGCTATGTGGTGATCAAAGACGTCCTTGTCCTCAGAGCAAATTCCAGCACACTTCTGGTACTTTGCACAGGATACCAGAAATTGTAGCTGAAATTCTTAAGATTTCACCATTTAAAGCAAAAAGCCCTTGGAAATTAAACTCATTTTCTCATGGGTGGATGACAGGCTTTGATATTTTGCTGAAATAATCAGCACAAAGCTTGTCCTGAAAGGTTAACAGGTTCACCTAGACTCTCACAAGAGGCACAGCAGCTATCACTGATATTGGGGCTTTCTAATGTCACACTAGGAATTTGTACAATCACAACTAATTACTTGTAGTTAAATGACAAAAATTTCTGGTTCTAACAACCCTGCCAGTGTTACTGGGAAGCAAAGACTTTACCCCTACTTTTTCACTTAAGAAATCTCTCAGCTGGGAGTTACCAGACAACTTACTTGAGAGGCTGGAACCAGATGATCTTTAAGGTCCCTACCAACACAAGCCACTCTGTGGTTTTATGATTCTATCTTTTTTTACTGGCTTTTCAAGTGTGATGTTGGTCTTTATTAGACAGTAGTGACTTCACTGAGGTTCACATAGCTACCAAGTAAAATCATAAATCAGAAGTTCAGAAAAACCAGGTCTGAGAAGATACTTGTTAAAATGTCAACCAAAGGGGCTGGTAATCTAAGTGCAAAAGCTTCCCTGAGAACCATGTCAGGCATAAAATAAAATGTGCAAGGTAGAGTTGTACCATCACCTGTCAGCATCCTGGCACCATATCTTACATGGCATCCTGAGCTGATGTTGATAACATTATTGAGTTCTTTATTCCTAGCATGATGGTGAATATCTAGAGGGCACAAACCCCCATGTTTTATTCACAATTTTTATTTCACAAAATATTGCATGTTTTCTTCACAATTTTGGGTGCTTTTAGTGTTTTCAATATTTACCTTCTTGGAGAGGACCAGCAAGATCTGCCAAAAGACCTTTGAAGCCTCACAGTTCCCCTAGGAGCCCCAATAAATAATGTCCACATTAAATAAATAATTTATTTGGTCCACACCAAATTAACCACAAAGGTCCAGGTTTATACAATTTGAGGGATCATTTCTAAAAAGACTGAGTGTGGGTCCTGCTTCAGAAGAATAAAAGGCATGCAAGTATCCCTGTCTGTGGATGTGGATTCCAGGCTCCTTCGTGTGGCAGGAGGACACCAGCTTCTCTCTGGATCCTGGTCACTCCACAGCCCAGCACGCAGGGGTCGCCTTCCCCCGGCAGGCTGCAGATCACCCGCATTTAAAGGGGAGATCCTGGTTTACAAGCAGCTTTCCGACCCTGGAGAGTACATTTTCATTGTAACAAGCTCGCAGATCACTAGATGGCCTCGTAACCTCAGAGATTTGGGCAGACCCTGGTTTGGGCTCAGGAATCGCCTGGTTTAAGCCCCTGGCGCCCCAAGTGCTGCAGAATCATGACCCCGGGCAACGCACAAGAGCCTTTCAAAAACGCAGAGCGAGAAATTTGATACACTTTGTCCCACCGGGAAGGTAGAGAACCTTTAGAAGCTGCTTGTATTCCCTAAATCCCAGCAAATGGGATTGGAGATGGAGCAGAGACTAAGTGGGAGCTGTTGAGAGTCGCAGGGGTCTCAGAGGGAGGTGAGCCCGTTTGGGGAGATCTCTGTGAACCTCAGAAACTGGGGAATTGGAGGGGATGCAGGTGGGTTTGGTTCCTTGTCCTGCACCAGTGAGTCCCAGTCACCGCCACGTGAAAATGTGGCCACTTCGAGGCCTCGGAGGAAATACCAGCGTTTGTAGGTGTAGGTGTGTCCTACCTGCCACCGAGCTGTGCCTTCCTGAGGGACAGCAACAACACGGGAAGCCCCCTCTCTCCTGTCCACACCGGGGAGGGTCTGGGGAGAGAAGCGAAGGGATCTTTCGAGCAGCAAAAACAGGAACGGGACGGATGGAGCAGGCGGGACGGGCACGGCAGAGGAGCGGGCAGAGGTCCCGCTCGCCCGAGGGGCAGAGCCGGCCCTGGGCGCTGCCTGCGGTAGATGCTGCTGCTGTCCCCGAGAGGCTGGAGAGCTTTCCCTGGGCCACACTGGATTGACAGCGCCCTTGATCTGATGCGTGAAGGGGAAAAAAACCCCTCATTTTCCCTGCCGTTCGGCTGGGGCGTGTGTTATCGCTCCTTTTCCCGCGCGGATTTTTATCAACGTTTTTAAACACAGGGCTACTTCGCATTGACGCACGTCTTTCAGAAAAGCCTTTCGAACGCATTAGGAGCGGAGCAAGCCCACGGCACCGAGCAGGGCTCCGGACTCGGAGCGGGGCAGGCGCTGCAGGACGGGAAAGCGAAGCGGCCCGAGCAGCAGCGGAGGCCGCGGCGGCGGGGCCGGTGCTGCGGGCGCTCCGGCGCTGTCGCTTTAAGGGCGGGCGGGCGGCGGGAGCGCGGCCCGGCCCCGGCGCAGCGGCGGCGGCAGCAGCAGGTACGTGCGGGCCGGGCGCTCCGGCCGGGCCGGGCAGCGGGCCCTGCTGTCCCCTTCCCCGGCCGGGAGCTGCCCGTGCTCCCGAGGCCTGCGGCCGCTTTGCCGGGCGAACGGCGAGGGCGGCGCGGAGCGCTCGGCCCGCGGCGCGGGCGGCGATTGCCTCCCTCGCAGGAGCGGGCGTGGGTAGGGCTGGCATCCCCCGAGGGGAAGGTGGGCCGGGGTGGTTGGGCTTTGGACGGCTCTTGCTGCCAAAAAAAAAAAAAAAAAAACCCCAAAACCCAAACCCATGGGCGGGGTGGAGGTGAGGTTTTTCTTATGTGTTTTGCTAGGTTATGTCTTCCAGTCCAAGTTCTACTTGCCCACTGATTTATAGTAAGATGGGCAGACCAGTAGTGTCAAATGCAGAGATATCCACCCTGATTTATTCCGTGTAAGATGGACGGGCCAGGAGTGTCAAACACAGTGATATCCATTCTTTTATCCATCCTGATTTTATTCCCTGTAAAATGGATGGGCTGGGAGTATCAACCAGGGATGTCCATCCTGATGCCTTCCCTCAGTAAGCATTTAAGCTCAGTTTGGCATCTTGAGTGCTGAGCTCTTGGCAGGTTTCTGTACCGACGATTAATTTCAGGAGACTAACCATTGTGACAGGCCATGCAAAATAAACACTACAGGATCTCAGCCCTGCTAATTTGCAGCAATTTGTGGAGAAAAGCCAGCATACAGCATTTGCTGACAAGATTTATCTCTCCAATTGATTGCAGTTAACATCATGCTTCCCTTAGGCAGATGAGGATTATAGAGCTCTGCCTTGAAGAAAGAAGGCATTTGCTAATTACATTCATTAATTACATGGACTCTGCTGAATGGCACTCTCCAGTGTAGAAAAATGTGAAATATTTGATCATGTGTATTTATTTGTAATAGAAACATAAAGCCTTTAGCCAATGATTGAAACAATGATTTAGTGGGAGTATCAGCCTAAAAAGAAAAGTGTAAAGTTCACAGCTTAAGTGATGAAACTAAAGCCAGTACTTAAAGCAGAGGCCAGCACACAACAGAAATACAGTTAAACACATATGAATGTTATTCTAAAGATACAGACAAATAAAGAAAACTGATCTAATTAACTGACATATTCTTCCTGTTGTCCCTTTGTCTAGTTTTAAGGACAACCTGCACAGCTTGAAGTTGTCCGTGATTCTTTTGTTGTGAAAAATTGTCGGGGCTGGGATGAAAGTTGTTTTTCTTCATGCATTATTCTGCTGGTTTGTGAAAACCACTGCAGAAGACAGAAAACAATTACAAAACAACAAGTCCAGTTTCTTGTTTGTTTGTACTTGCAGTCTTGCTGTTGTGGAAGCACAGGCCCGAAATGCTTCTCTGGTCATCAGTTTCAGGAGAGGTTCAAAAGCAAGGAAGTCTGAGTTATTGAAAAGAAATTAGAGAGCAAGGTGAGGAAGGAAAAAGGATATGGAAATACTAATGGATGGGTGAAGGAGATCTAAGCAGGGAGGCTGGAAAACATTTCCTCTTCCTTCAGGCCACTACTTGCTGAGTGTACTCACAGGATAAGCACAGGAAAGGCCCAGGGTCTGCAAGAGAAGGCGAGTGAGGAAAGTTTCTTAATAAAGTGCTGAGAGGCTCTTCCTTTGCCTCTCAGTGCAGTACTGTGGCTCTCCACTCTCCATGCTCTTGATTCTTAAATGAATTTAAACTCTGACATACCAATCTTTGATTCTTCTTCACCGCCTGTGTGAAGTGTACTACACACCTTGAGTGGCGTGACAAGGCCATCCAGTAACTAATGTATCACCCTCTAGAAACTTAATTTAAATGTGTTAGATTCAGTTTCTCTCTTCAGACATCTTGGAGCATGTTTATATAGTGTCTCAGAGTGGGCTACAGGGATGGAGATCTGCTTTCTTCTACAACTGACAGCATCCACATAGTCTTATGGAGACTATTGCACCATAAGACTAACCAATCCTTTAAAATACAGGCTGAAATGCAATGAATTAGGGCTACTCTGGTTAAGATGAGTTTTGGGTTTTTTTTTCTGTTTTTGTCAATTTTGGAGCTGGCAGATTGATAAATCTTAGGGAGAGAGAGGAATTCCTTTAATTGCTTGCCTTTAAAAAAATGCTTTTGTATAAAGATGCATCACCATTATAAAACTGGTAATTAATGGTGTCTCTTGAAACAACCTACTGTTAACCACTGCTATGTCCACTGCAATGCCAGAGTCTTTCTGAAAAATCTGAAGATGCAGTGGAAGAACCCTAAATGGGAGTAGATTGCTGTGTGTATATCTTCAGGACAGAGGGAGAGAGATGTTAAAAGGTTGCACATTCAATTTTTAGCTCTATCAGCTGTGCCACTAACTGGTGGTTTCTCACTGGATGAGTTCAGAGTCTTCTTCTGAATGGGTCTCTTAATAGCTTATTGAATACCACTTATTTCAGACTTAAGACTGGGCAGGGGTAAGGCACAAGAGCACAGGGACCTACTCTTCCTAAAGTCCCTGGTGGTGCAAAGCCTTGAAGTCATTGAAGAAACATCACTTACATAGCATTTTTCTCCTTTCAGGAATTGTCATCTATCACTATGAAAAACAACATCCTGTGAGTTAGTTTCAAGCTTTGTGCCTCATCAGTTTCTTCGGATAAGCTGTGCTCCAAGCTCTCCTGAGGAAAGCTGGTGTCCTTGGGGAAGCATGGCCTTGTGTGGTTGGAAGTGGCTCCTCCTCTTGGGCAGGCAGAACACCCTTGCCAGGGTGTGGAGAAGCAGGAGGGGCTCTCTGTGCTGGCAGCGCTGCTGCCACTGGAGCGCAGGCAAGTCTCTGGACCCCGAGGTGAGAGCGTTTTTGGAGGAGAACACCGAGGTCACCAACAGCGGGCACCTCACGCCAGAGATCCGGCTGCGCCTCCTCACCCCCCGCTGCAGGTTCTGGAGAGAAAAACCTGACCTGTGGCCTTATGGGGACCCGTTCTGGGCAATTTACTGGCCAGGAGGCCAAGCCCTCTCCAGGTATGCAGCAAAATTCACCACAGCTGAAAAGTCCAGTGTGCCAGGATGTCAGACCTGGCTCTGTTTGTAGCAATTCCTAGTGATGTGTGTTTGCCTATTATGGGTGCATTATCCATCCTCCTCTCTGCTTATACTGGAGTGTCCCAGTCTCTGCTGGCTGGCAGCAAGTTCCAGCACCTGTTGTGTAAAATAACTTGTGTCTTTTAAATAGAAATTTGTTATAATCAGTGGCCATGCATGTGCTGACAACAGGGCTGAATTTGGATCTATGGAAGTGCTGTGCAGATGCCATCAAAACCTAGTGAGGTGTTTAATTCTATGACTCCAAACAAGAGGATTGCTATTTCGACATAATGTATATGGGTTTTTTTGTTGGAGACAGACAGGAGTGTGGATGTGCCTCTGGTCTGTTGAGAAAAGTAGTTTAATGCTGATGCACTTGGAGTGTTGGTTAGCCTGAATAACTCTCCTCATCTAGGATTCAGCAGCCTTATTGTCTGTGACTTTTTGTGGCTTTTAGTCACATCAGAAGGCACATTCTGATTTTGGCTGCTGACTGTCAAAAAGTCTTTAAATGTTCCTGATTCAGAAGAACTAGAGTTCTTTTATTTTGTGAAATCAAATCTCTCATTTAAACAGCAGAAAAAAAAATCTTAATTTTTACAGCAGAGAACAAGCTGTCAGAGATTTCCCACATAGATGAAAGGGAAGAATCTGAATTGGGGCGTTACTGTTTTTCTGCAAGAAAGCATAAATAAGAAGGCAGTTTTGACCAGGTAAAAGATGAGTCTTACTGTTAAATTATGAGTTGATTATGTCATGTAGATGAACTAGAGTGCTCCTAAACATGGGGTATATAAAATAGATTAGTTAATCTCTTAATTTTCTTATCGTATTATTTATATGCTCAGATATTTGGGTAGCAATAATAATTATCTGGCATTTCACTACTTTATTATCTTACTGTTTATGCACTGGTTTGATGTATTAAATAATGTCAGAAATCAGTTGCATAATTTGGAAGAGTAAAAAGGGAGCACAAAAACATATGGTTACCTCCATAACTGTCCTCCTGTCACAGCTGGCGTTTCCACAGCATCAGGAATCTCCTATTTCGAGCTACTCTTGGTGTAATCCAAGATTCCTCATTGACCCAGGAGGGCAGAGACACTGTGTGCACTGTGCCAGGGGATACAGCAGCATCCAGCTGTCCTGAGCTGTCACCACAACCAGCAGCAGCAACTCAGTAACCACTCAGCTGGAAAAAAGGCACTTGCAGCATCACCCCCTACACAAATTGCTAATGGAAAGTCATGGCAAATCCCAGCGGGGCTCCTAGAAAGGAGAAACACAGCACTTCTGTGGAGATCCCACGCCTGTCCTTGGTCCTGGTGGTAAACTAGGGGCTGTACATAGGGGAGTGATGGCCTTAGGGGAATGCTGTTAAACATCTGAGATGCTGAGCCTCAACACAAATATCCTGCACTTGACAAGCTTACTAGGCCTCTTGGTGCCATTCCTGCTGGTGCTTCCAGGCCCGGACATTTCCATCCATCCATTCCCAATGTACACCAGTCTTAACATTTCTGTGACAGTCATCTGCACTGGAGTCCCCCTGCAAAAGCTGTGCTTACCTCTAGCCCTCTGTGAAGAGTCAGCCATCACTCTCCCTGTCACAAAAGATAACACAGCTGTAGAATCCTTTCTTATTTCTACTTCAAAAGAAGTTATGGAAAATGGTAGTAAAATTATGGCAGTTTGCAGTAATTCATTTCACCCAGGGCTCTTCTCCCTGACACCTGGGGCTTTCCCCTTTGCAGCAAATTGAATTTCAAGGCAGTTGTTCAAGTTTTGAACCCTCTGCAATAGTTATAATATGATTCATAGTATTTAACAATAACTGCTACTTGCCTTCTGTCAGTTCTCCACTTCCAGCCTAAAGGTTTTTCAGGATTTCTCTTGGCAGGTGTCAGCAATTAGATGAAGATACCCTTTCTGCTCACCACAGCTCTATTCTTTTTCTCACTGCTACTCAGGAACAACACTAAGCAGTCTCAAAGTATTTGCATCTCTATCTGCATGGCTCAGGAAAAGAAAGAGGAGAGAGAAATTCCTCTTCTTCCAAGCAGTTGCATAAGCAGTGTTTCAGATTGGTGGGTGGGCACTATATTCACTGTGAACACATCATGTTTTTCAGTCAGATTGCTTTTAATTTCTACAAATCCTTACTTCACTATTTCTCATGCATTCTGACGAATTCTCATTACCTAGATGTGTCTACTTACCAGTTTGTGTCCACTTAACAGATAAGCTCACCTGTCAGAGAAGGAGCTGATTGACATAAAATGTTGCTTACTTGGCTGAATTTCTTTTTGTTTGTGGGTGGGGGAGGACACTAAGGGAGAAAAATTATGGTTCTTGATTTTTATATCATCTGAGACAAATAAGGAGTTTTGTGGCAGCTGCACATGTGGAACAGTGTTAAGGCACCACGCTTCATTATATGTTTGGCAAGAAACTCTTATGCAGTGTACTGTAAACCTGAGAAATTTGCATGATCTTGTTCACTACTTTAACAGCTTTTCTTTTTCAGGTATATTTTAGATAATCCACGTGTGGTTAAAGGGCGATCGGTTCTGGATCTTGGAAGTGGATGTGGAGCAACAGCAATAGCTGCTGTGATGAGCGGTGCATCCCAAGTCCTTGCCAATGACATTGACCCTAGTAAGGCTTTTTTCCATCTGTTTGTGAAGATACTTACTAATTTTTAAAGCACCTTTAACATGGACTTTTCTTTGCTCCATTTGGGAGAAATTCAAGTTCCAAACAGAATCCTAAGAATGCTAAAAAGAGGAATAGGTTTTGCCAGTACTGGAAGCTGGGTTGTACCAGCCTCTCTTGGCCCAGGTATAACTCCATAGCTCCTTAAAACAAACAGCAAACTTTCTGTCAAGTGTTGCACATACACCACCACAGCTGGTTTGGATGAGAACTCCAAGGACAAGCAGCAAGTTGGCTTCTCCGTAGGACCACAGCATTTTCCTGTACTTTCAGGTACATCAGGGCCTAGATTTTGCCTTTTTCCTCTAGGCTTTGTCTTTCCATAATTGACTTATGAATACAGTTTATTAATAAATTAATTACTCATTAGTTAGGAAGGAAGTATATCCATAGATTAAGGCAGTTATTATATTCTACTTCAATTCCATTATTGGTTTCCAATGGTATCCATTCTAGGAAAACGTCTTCCCTATGTCATGATGTAACGAGAACAAAATTTCATCACTTCATGCTAGATTTTGACTCATAATAAAAACTGTGGAAGCCCCCTAGATGGGATGAACAACATTTAAGAGATGAAATTGAAAGATTTCATCACAGAAATATGCAAGAGGGTTGAATGGCAGAATCCTAAAATGTAACTTTAATTTTCCTTTGACTTTTCTTCAGTTGCAGGAATGGCAATGATCTTGAACTGTGAACTGAACCACCTGAATCCCTTCCCCATCACCATTAAGAACATCATTAATTCAGAGGCTGGCAACTGGGATCTCATAGTTCTAGGAGATATGTTTTATGATGAACAACTTGCTGATGGTCTGCATCACTGGCTGCAGAAGTGCATCAGGATTCACCAGACTGAAGTGCTGATTGGTGACCCTGGCAGGCATCAGTTTTTAAGCCACAGCATTCGCAGTCAGCTGCACAAAGTTATAGAATATTCACTGCCTGAGTCTACGAGACAAGAAAACTACGGGCTAACATCAAGCATTGTCTGGAGTTATCAGCCCTCAAACAGCTTAGATGATTCTTGAAGCTGTCTTTCTATGGGATTTTGTCTCTCTTGATTGGCTTTCTGCAGGTATATAACATGAAAATGGGAATTAAACAGGGAACATTATCTGTTAAAGTAAAACAGCTTACTGTACCTTCACTGGACTGATTTCAATCATACTCAACTGAGGCTTTTGCTCAATTTGATGTAAAAGCTACATGCAAACTGTATTCAAAGGGGCCTGCACTGAAGTGCACATCTACAGACAACTTACGTGTAGGAGTTTGCATGCTTGATGTTTCCCATGTGTATTTGTGTCTTGCTGACATTACTGTGAAATATTTTGGATGTCCAGCATACTGCTGTGGGGAGAGGGTTCTGACTGAAGGACTACTGCACTGTTTCCACAGGCTTCTGCAGCTTATTTATAGAAAATTTGTAAATACAGAAAATTATTGCTGTCCTCCATAAAATTCTCCACTAGATTTTTAGCTCATAATATGCTCAACTTGAAGTGCCTTGCTCTTTTTCTGGCTATCTCTTCTGAATGTTAAAGTAATTAATTTAAATCTCCCCCTTTCCCTCTGTAATAAAAATTTCCTCTTCCTTGAAACTGACAGAGTGATTATGTAGGAGTTGTGCCCAAATCTAAACTCTGCTTCTTGACTGCCAGCCAGTGTAAAAGCTTTAATAAATGGAAAATTAATAAACAGTACCAGCTACGGGGTAACTTCATTCCCTTGAGAGTAGGGTCAAATGATCTACAAATTATCTACATTACCCTTTGCAAGGGTAAACCAGGCAACCTGTCACCTTGGGAAGCTGCTGAGGGATGAAGAAGTCTTTACTTCTGTGACAAACAGAGGGTAACGAAATAAAAACAGGTAATACAAGTCTGATATAATTATTTTGCTCTTCTCCTGACGAGATGCTGGACAAACTCCAGGATCATTCTCAGTTTTATCTGCCAACTAAGAACCAGCTTCATCTACCAAACATGATAAAAAAAAAAAATCTGATCCTCAGGTAAGATGCTGGAACTGTGGCCATTTGAAGAAGAAACCAATCTTTCCAGAGCAGTCTTACAGGAAGTGTCAACTTGAGCAGTCAATTATTGTACAAGTAGTGATGGGGAGCTAGTAACTGCACCATAGACCACTGTGCAGTGATGCCACGTGCTGTAGTGAAAGCTTACAAATGTGAAATAGTGTGTGGTACTCACTCAGAAAACAATGGTATTCATGAAGTAGGAGGTTTAGGAGCACAGTCAGACGTACATAGTTCTATAATCCAACAAGTTGCCAGAACTATCCAAACAAGCTAACTTCTAAACTTTAATCTTCGTAACAATATGCCAATATTCTGCAAGGCTCACAACAATAACAATGTCCAAACAATAGAGAATATGAAGTGGCAAGCACATCCATGAGGTTCTTCTCCCACTTCACCCAGTGCCTGTAAACATCTGTTGAAAATTACTGTGAACCAAAAAACATTCCAGTAGAGTTATGCAAATACTAAAAACATAAGCTATAACGGTGAAGGATTTAAAGTAACTTACATTAAACTTTCAAACCTAAAATTACAGTGTTACCTCACTGCAGTGTTGTACAGCTTTTTAAGCACCAGGTAAGGATGTACCACTAAGTTACACATTGAAAAGAAGCTGTAGGGGAAGATGGTAAATCTACAGGCACACTTAAGGACACAGTACAAGCTGCATTTGCCTTCAACATGACAAATACAAGGTTATATTAGCAAGGAGAAAAAGGACAACTTTGCCACTGAGGTTAGCAGTAGCATTGTTTCACAGAGCTGCCTAAACAGTTGTATGATTCAATATCAAAAATAGTGCAACACAGATTTACTGTCCAAGAGTTCAAAAGAATGATGGGCCCTGATTGATCCCAGGGGTTCCACAAGGCATAACAATACACAAAAAAAAAACCACAAAAAAACCAACCAACCAAACAAACAAAAACAACAACAAAAAAAAACCACCACCACCAACAAAAAGAAATAAAATCAATGGTTTGCACTGGTGCAGTTACACCTACAGGGATCACAGGAAAATATTCATCACTGGGCGGAGCCATGCAACAAGAGTAAGGGATTTAGGTGCTGGTCTTGGAAAAAATACACTTTTACTGACACCTGAACAATTTTTCTAAATAAACCATTGCACTTTCATAAACCATATAATCAACAGAAGAACAAATATTATTGTCAGACATCATAATACCATTTAATATTGGCAACAAAAATTACCCTCCATGCAATTAGACCTGAACTTTAAATAGATTAATATAAGACTGGTTTATTTCTGCAATGCTTATGTGTGGCTATGACAAGAGTTAAATGGTAAACATATTCCTTATGACTGCCTAAACTCTTTAGGTTTCCAGACGTCATCAAACCCATGTTAGACCACCATAGCTAAACCCTTCTACTTCCAGATCCAGAGGATAAACCCAGTGTGCTCCATTCCCTTATAAAGCTAAAATGGCTGGCATTAAGGAGCTTAATGCAGAAATCATAGAACTCTGACTAGAGGTTATGCTGGTTCAAGAAAGCCAAGGAACATGACTTATAATTGAGATGAGAGCACTGCTCCATTATGTAATAAACTCATGCTACAGTTCAAAAATTATTTTTTAATACTACTATAACTGAACAATAAATGTATTGATATTTTCAGCTTCTGGGGCCACTGGATATGTAATGAACTGCATACAGCAGAACACATACTCTACCATCCTGAGATTTATGTGCTCAGACACTACATTTGGTCCTATTTCATTCACAGATATGCTTATGAGTACCAGTGTTTTGTTCCCTAAAAGGATTTTCATGTAGAAACACAGGCAAAAGCCAGGGCAAATTAAATATTTGCCCATGTATAAAATCCTGTTTTTGGTCACAGCTACTACTCTGAAATTTGTAAAGTCACCATAACAATTCCAAAGCAAGTTTATGTTTACACATTCACAGGCTCTACATTTGGATGTGTAAAAATTCAGCAAGTATTTGATGGTAAGTAAGAACAGAAACCTGCAGCATCAGTAACATCAGAAGAAAGGTACCTAAGTTTATTCCAGACCTAGCAAAGTACATGGTGAAAGGAGATTCTTTGTTACTACTGAAAGTACCTTTGTATCACTGTTAATACCACCTCCATTCACCAGTTCTGGCTGTTGACTTTTGTTAGATTCAACTCCCAACTTCACAGACACTGCTATGTGTCAATATTACATTTGAGCTGGGTACTTATAATTTTAAGTACTACGCCAGAATACAAACTCAGAACACACACTTACCTAAACTGGGTTTGTGGCTAAATTGCTAAAGGATACTAAGTAGCAGCCAAATCCAGCACTTCAGGAAGCCTGAGCAACGGCCCTAGATAGTTTAACTTTCCTCTTAATGAAGTGTGATCAATGGGAACACAGACAGGGCTCCAAGGAAAGACAATAAGGAAGCCCAGGCTCACGGGCAAGGACTGGAGTGGCAATGGAGACCTCCAGTGGGAAGCAGGAGGGATGCAGCCTGGTGGAACAAAAGTCACCAGGTAGTTCTCCAAGGTGCTTGTTTGCTGAAGGAGCTCTCCACCTGTAAACTTGACACTCACATGAACAGGATAAATAATCAGTAAACAGTCCATGTTAGTTGCTTGATTTTGTTTGATATGATGAGTTGCTCTAAAGCATCTCGGGACCGATCTGAAAAAGAACAAAGGAATTTCTTGTTATTTATTCAGAATATAAAGGTGGTATTTGGAATAGGCACACAACACAGTAAAGGAATTCTATGTCTGCTATTATACTTCTTTTGCTATCACAATATCACACTTCAGATGCATCTGTAGTAATCCAAACCCTCTTGGTTCTTTTTCCAATCACCTAACTGTAAAGCATCACCAACAAACAGAATTTTAAACACCCACAGGCTGTCCTACTCCATTCCACTGTTTCTTGAATAGATGATATTCTACACTTTTGGAATATTAAGATGCTAATATTTTTCTGAAGTCTTTGGGTCTTCATCAGCAGGCTGAAGGGGAAAAAAAATACAATTTCCAAACAAACAAAAAAAGTCCCCTCTCTGAAGATTGCTGCCACATTTCAAAGCAAAACTCTCACCCTGCTTTGAAAAATCTCAGTGTACGATGATTGTTTTATCCAGTAAGTTATTATTTGTTTGGGATTACTTATGGAGTACAGTGTGTTTTTCAGAAAGCAAGAAGGTATGATTAACAAGTAATTATCTTCTTGTGATTAGATCTACCTGTTATCAGTGGGCATCCATGGAACAGAAAAATGTGTATCTTGGGACAACAAGTAAGGACGGCTTCCACAGCAACGTCGGTCAGATTAACACAGCGCTCCATGTGGATCTCCTGTTAGGAAAACAGGAATGACAACAGCCTGTCAGAGCACCCAGTGTTTTAGAGGCAAAGCTTTCCATTGCCCAACCCATTTCAGAGATCATCAACCAGAAGGAATTATGACCTCAGTGCATTGACCTCATATATGGTCCTGTACAGAGCAGAAAAATACCCTAAAGAAAAATAAGACAGCTTTTCTGTAGAGTCTAAACTAAAAACATAAAGTGTAAGAGCCTGAGATGAGAGATGTGGGACTCCAGGCAGCTCTTCAAAATGCTGTTTATTGTATAAGAGATGTTACAGCAGTCTCAGGTCATGGGTAGCAGACCCACACCTAAGGCTGCCAGCTACACCTTATAGGCAAGCCTGAAGCCGCTTTAATTCTGGTTACAATGCATTATATATTTTTCTTTGCTGAGCATCTTAATACATAACAACCAATCAGCATCATACACAATACCTTTATTGTTACCTATAGCCTATCACAACTATCAGTTCCATATTACAGTCATTATTATCCAACTACATGAGTTAGCATGTTACAGTTTAAGCTTGAAATTGTTTTTCTGTTTTCTTGCAGTGGAAAATTCTTAGACCTTTTTTCTACTTGCCACATCAGCATGTTTGTTTGCCTACAGTATCTTTCTTCTTTTCCTAAGACCTATTTCTGCTTGGTAAAAACATCTTTTTTGTTTGTGGTCAACATATCCTTTGGTCTAGTCATAAAACCTCCTTCCAGCTTGACTTAACCTTTGCTTTCTTAGTTTTCCAGTAACAACTGGCTCAGCAATTCTCACTTTAGACATCTATTGTTCTTCTATCAAAACTTGCTTCCGTCTCTAGTCTGTTCTCAGGTTCTACATTCAGAGAGCTATCTGTCAAGCACACATATCTGTGAAATTTTCTTGTCAAACTTTCATCTTTTCCAATCATTATTATCCAACTACATGAGTTAGCATGTTACAGTTTAAGCTTGAAATTGTTTTTCTGTTTTCTTGCAGTGGAAAATTCTTAGACCTTTTTTCTACTTGCCACATCAGCATGTTTGTTTGCCTACAATATCTTTCTTCTTTTCCTAAGACCTATTTCTGCTTGGTAAAAACATCTTTTTTGTTTGTGGTCAACATATCCTTTGGTCTAGTCATAAAACCTCCTTCCAGCTTGACTTAACCTTTGCTTTCTTAGTTTTCCAGTAACAACTGGCTCAGCAATTCTCACTTTAGACATCTATTGTTCTTCTATCAAAACTTGCTTCCGTCTCTAGTCTGTTCTCAGGTTCTACATTCAGAGAGCTATCTGTCAAGCACACATATCTGTGAAATTTTCTTGTCAAACTTTCATCTTTTCCAACATCAAAGGTGAGTTTTCCCAACACACAC